AAAGATGATGATGATGATGATGAGAGAGTCATAAAAGATGATACAGATACTGATCTTGTCAATCTCAGGAGGACAATTTATCAAACCATAATGTCAAGTCTTGATTTTGAGGAAGCAGGACATAAACTGCTTAAAATCAGACTAGAACAAGGTCAAGAGATGGAGCTATGTGTTATGGTGCTTGAATGTTGCACTGAGGAGAAAACTTATCGTTCCTTCTATGGTCACTTAGCACACCGGTTCTGCCTCAGAAGCAAAGTTTACAGGGAATGTTTTGAGAATCTGTTTGTTCAGCAATATTCTATGGTACACCGATTCGAGACCAACAAGTTGATTAGTGTAGCCACCTTCTTTGGGCATCTCCTGGCCACTGACGCTCTTCCTTGGCATGTTCTTTCCTATGTTCAGTTAACAGAGGAAGACACGACTTCCTCATCACGTATCTTTCTCAAGAACCTTTTCCTACAACGTAACTCTCTGAGCTATTAGGAATTAAGCTTTTGAATGAAAAGCTTCATGATCCAACCATGGAGGAGACGTTCGAGTCCATCTTCCCAAAGGACCATTTAAAAAACACGTTGTTCTCCATCAACTTCTTCACCAAAATTGGCCTCGGGGGCATCACTCAAAAACTAAGACAGTTCATCGCCAAGCGCAAGGAAACTGATTCAGAGGAATCAAGTGGTGATGATGGGACGAAGAGGAAGCGTAGAAGAAAAAGAGGTTGATCTGTAGCATCTGTTTAAAGCTCTCTTGGATTGTTAATCTTTATTTGGCAGCTCTCTTGGTTTGATGATCTAATTTCGAAGCTGTTTTCTATTAGCATATACATAATCTTCTTTTTTTGAATCTGATGCTTTGTTTAAGACCAATTTATGTCAGAGGAAGAACATAGACTTGTCAGCTTATTTGGTCACACTAAATCGAAAACATCACAGTAAAGTTACAATGCCTTTGTTATTTATAAACTAAAACACACAATCCAAACTTTAATTATAAAACCCTTAGTTTGATGTATGATATAAATGGGTTTCACAAATTACAGAGATTCATCACTATACAAAATTACAAATGCAACTCTATTTCAATACACAACTTTTCTTATTACTCAACATAACAGTTCCTTAAGAATCAAACACTATGAATCTCAGATGTAACAAACCTTCTTATAAAACCCAAAACTTAATAAGAAAGCAATGATAAAGGTTTAGCTATACGTTGTATGTGTGTGTGCACTTAAATATTCAAGATCAAAGAAAAAGAAGACATTACTCTGATCTTTACAGTAGTTCTTTCGAACTCTGTCCCTGGCTAGGTTTCTGATGCCGTTCGCTTTGGCTTTGCCGCTTAGTCACATACGTAACAGCTCTATACATATCTGAACATGAATAGGCAACCTCGGACATTGCCTGAAAAAGCTCGGGGAGGCGAGTTCGAAGACTAGCCAGTGACTTCTCTCTAACTTGATGGCTTTGCCTGTGGTAAGCTTCTTCTTCTTCTTCCAACCTCTTCTTAATTTGTTCTACATTGAATTGCCGCACCATGACCTCGTCTTTATGATCGTTATCCGCTTCTGACCCCTCCGGATTCATCCCTTCCGGTCCTCTCTTCTGCATGTATTTATAGTACCATTCCTCAAACTGTCTGATTTTTCTTCCCAGTTCTTTTTTTGTCTCTTCGCATTTGTTTCTGAGATTTATCTCGTCTTCTTGCTGCTGCATTATCGTGCTTACAACCGCTGCGAAATTGATTATGGCAGTTCTAGCCATTTCGTCAGGGATTTTGTCTATACGGTCATACCAAGCGTGGAGGAGTTTTTGGATTGCGGGATTGGGAACTCGAGGAGGCGAAGATACTTTCTCCTTGAGTGTGCTTTCGATAGGGATGAGATTTAGCTTTAGCCATCCGCCGAGTGCTTTTATGTATTCTTTCTGATGATCTATCATCCTGCAAAACTGCGTGTGCCATTCTTGAACCACCGCCAAGAGCTGGATGGTGCGTTCGTGATGATGATCATTTGTTTCTTTCACCGCTTGCGAAACGTCTAGAGATTTCAAAACCTTTGAGATCTCAGCTTGTCTTTGATGATGCATTTGCATCATTTCCCACATCTTCCCCATCCTGCAAAAAAAATTTCCATAAAAACTCAAAAATCATTTTGTCTAAAACATCATCAGAAAAAAAAAATCTACCAAAGAAACAAACTTACGCTTCGACAAGGAGAATGAGCTTTAGGTATAGTTGTTCATCCCGAAGACGATTTATCTCTGAAACTGTGGAGTCCATAGATTGCATATCAACTATGTATCTTGTATGCAAATGACTAACTGCTGCTTTAGCTCTCTCTAATGAATCCGAGTGGCCACCTCGTTTCTTCACCCGATTTAAATGAGCAACCTTTTTCTGGTACTCGATCTTCATAAGTTCGCCAGCCTACATCCAACCAGAAGTTTATCCCAAAATCAGACTCTCAGTAGAAACATATGTCATCTTTGCTCATAAAACTACCGAAAACAATCAAAGAGACTAAAATCAAGTTCACAAACATAGAGACTTTTCTCAGAAGAGAAGATTACCCGAAAAGACTAACCATGGCTGCAAGAATCTTTCCTCAAAAAGAAAACTCTTTTAGCTACGCTAAACAAGCACAACCATTAAAAAAGAGACAAGTTTTGATATAGTTACCTTGACTTCGTCGTAGAGCTTCTTTTCCCATGCTAGTAATTTGTCAAGAACAGTAGCATGAGTTTCATTCTCTTCCAAATCGACATCATCTTTCCCATCATCAGCATTTGGTATTCCTCTAAACGATCTATTCCATGTAATTACACGCATCACTCTAGCAGAGTGATCAATATGTCCTGTCACAAAACAACACATCATCTTAAAATTTTAGCTAAACCAAACAATAGAAGATCATCTTGTTTCTCTAACAAATTATAGAAATCAAAATTACCTCGGTTATCGGCGAAATTAGAATGGTAATGGAGCCTAGTAGCTTCAAGCATCTTTGAAACTTCATGAGCACTTTCAGAAGCTTTCAAGAAACTATCATCAAGCTCATTGAATACATTCGCCAAATCCGTCGTAATTCTCACTCCTCTCCTCTCTCCGGGAATCCCTATCCCTTTACTCTTCTTCATCCCTCTCAAATTAGTAACCTTTTCCAATTCAACACTAACTTCCTCCACTCTCTTCGGTCTTTCTTCCACCGGTGGTTTCCGTTCAAGCACCGCCTCCTCCTCCTCCTCCTCCTCCTCATCTTCCTCATCTTCCTCCTCCTCCTCCTCATCTTCTTCTCCTTCAGTGACGACTGGTGAATGTGGTTGAGGAGGCACAGGTCTTGTTGGTTGTGGTTGTGGTTGTGGTTGTGGAGGAGTGTCTTCTAAAGTAGTTCCAGGCATATTCTCAACATTAGGGAAGAAGTAATCATAGAAAGGTTGTTGTTGCTGCTGTTGATGTTGATGCTGATGCTGACGTGGCGGCTGAATTGGCCGTGAATTCACCGCCGGAGGAGGTGGCGGAGCTTTCTCCTCCTGGTGATGATGATCTTCAATCGTCGTCCTACCTCCACGGCTTCTCGATTTCCTAACCAAACGATCACGATTCTCCAATTCAGAATCATCATCATCATCATCATCGTTATCTAGAGTTCCATCTTCTTCGATTCCGTTAAGTCCATTACCAGAAGGACCACCACCGGATCTACCGTTCATCTCCGGCATAGTAGCAGCGCGTTGAAGAGGAAGAGGTGGTGGAGGAGGAGGAGGAGGAGGAAGAGTATCAGGAATCGGCTGAGGAACCGCAGCGGAAGAAGAAGCGGTTGAATTAGAAATAGCGGCGATAGAAGAAGGAAGAGGAGGAGATATAGCAGTGGGAAGAGAAGAAGTAGAAGCGATTGCTGCGGCGGAGGAGGAGGATGAGTGATTAGAGACTAAAAATTCGCCGTGAGAGTAATCGGAAAGAGCAGCTCCGGTGTTTTTAAGAGCCATAGCGTAAGCTGAGTGTGCGGCGGCGAAAGCGTTACGAGCTGTGACGGCATCTTTCATCAACTGTTTTCGTTCTTTGCAACGAGTAACAGCTTCTTCGTTCTCGATCTTAGATTGAGCACAACCCATCTTCTTCTTCGTCTTCTTCCTCTCGAAGCTCTCTTACTTCAGATCGATCAGAGAAGAAGAGATAGAGAGATTGAAGAAACTCGAAAGCTTTAGAGTTAAGTTTGTAAAAAAGGAATAATGATAGAGAGAGAGAGTTGATACGACGTCGTTCCAGTTGTTAGAAAAGGCAACTAACGCTTTTTCTATTTAGTTAACTTTTTGGGTTAAGTTTTTCATTTTTCGTTGGGCTACTATCAGGGGAAATGACGTGGATAAAGTTAAAAAAGGAAAGAAGCGAATATAACGTTTTTTTTTTTACTTTTGAATTTTAATTTTTTTGTGGTATAAAATCTTTTGTATCAATCACTATTCAGTATTCACTAGTAATAGAAGGATCATAATAATGCATTCTTTTTTGGTCTCATATAGGATCTATCAATACCTATGTAGGATGATTGTACTCTCTCCGTTTTCGAATAATTGTCGTTTTAGAGAAAATTTTTTGTTTTTAATTAGTTGTCGTTTTTAGTTTTCGATGTAAAATTTATTACTTTTTATTTTTTATATTTATTTTTATTATGCAACTTGATTTACTATTAGTTAAATTATGTTTAGGTAGATAATAATGATATTTTTGTATTGAAAAACTAACAATATTAATAGTTTCTTACTTTGTGTGCATATAGTTAAAACGACAACTATTTGAAAACGGAGGGAGTATGTATTTTTTTTTGGGTTAATTCTTTGACTAATACAAAAAAGTTAGCCGACAAAATAAATGATAGTAAAAAGACGTATATAGCACAATAATTTCTTAACCAACTTTTATTTTTTGGAAGTAGACTATAGTTCGCTATAAAACAATTGTTTTGAAAAAATATGTCGGCTTGGAACAAAAGATTATAAAATATAACAATTAGTATAATCATAAGATTAAAATCGAACAAAAGATTTTTTAGGGGTCAGTTCTTCCATTGAACTTTCCCTTTTTTTCTGTGCAAAGATTCAACTACTGGACTAATTTACAAAGTCATAAGGATAATAACTTGACCCCTAGAAAGAAAAAAAGATAATAACATATTCAACGAAAATCTAATTAGTAAAATTAATTAGCAATATAAGCTTAACTACGAAGAGAAACCCTAATTAGTTTTCTCTTATCTCCGGTGCAGAGCTGCAAGTCGAGCCACCACATCATCATAATCAAGGAGCTTAGGTCTCTGAAACGACGACGTTCTCTCGTTCCCTCGTGTTGTGGAAACTTCGTTATTGCTTGTGCTTGTGAGACTCCTACCGCCTTGTATTCCAAGTAACCTCGAGTTTTCTTGATCAATACTCTTGCTATTCTCTTCTTTCTCCTCTTGTGCTTTCTCATCGTTTCCAGCTCCTGGAGGAGTGATTATTCCGTAAGGTAAAATCTTCTTCCTCTTCTTCTTCCTTACAGATTCTCTTCTTAGAGAACTCGAGCTCGAGCTTGAACTAGAACTCAAACTGCCTTTGGACAATGAATCTCTTCTCCAACTCTCTGAAAGAACCGATTCATCCTCGCTTTGGTCATCTATCATACTTTTCTCTGTATCTTTGTTCAGATAATCTGCTCTTGTCTCGACCTTGTCCTTAATCTAAACCATTTTCAGACATTAGAACAACAAAAGCTGAGAGATTGATGTTTTTTCTCTAATCAAATCCAGAGTACATATTTTACCTGCAGAGCTGAACTCTCCCTGAGCAGCATTATTTTCAGAGGTGTAGGATCCCAATTGATCGAAAACTCATTCGCAACATCTTTCACTGTTTGAATCTTGAGTTCCCGTGAAGGAAGTCTTCGCAATTCAGTTTTCTCAACGAGCTGCAAGATTCAAAAAGACAGATAATCTCAGTGCAAGAAATGTGGCAAAAAGATTAGACAATGTAGTTCAATAATAAACCAACCTCATGATTTACAGATGAAGCAATGAAAGTCCCAAATCTACGCGTAAACACGGCTCTAAGATCTTTAAGTTCAGGAACATCAGGAACCCATGCCGTTGCATATATCAAAGAGGAAACAGCTTCTCTGCATTCTTCAGGACATTCCCTAAAAGTGAAGGAAACAAAATCAAAAACATAAGTTAATAAATTATGAGACCTTTTGGTGTGAAATCTTGAGATTAATAGTAAAAGTAAAAAAACCTTTTCTTCAGCATTAGTGAGAGATTTTCAGAGATACAATCGCAGAATCGCTCGATGAGATCGTAGCACGATATTATTCTAAGCTCTTCGAGTAATAGTTCTGTCTGTAGTAACAAATAATTGACAGATTAGGAACAAAATACTTAATAATACAGAGAAAGCTTAGAATCATAATGAAAGAAAAAAAGAAGTGTTAATTACTCTTTTATAAGCTTCAATATCTTGGCCATTATTGAGGAAATTCACAATATCTGTTTTATAATTTTTAACCATTGCAATCCTTTTTTTCCTCACTATATCAAGCCTAATCTTCATGTAGCTTGTTGTAGATTTACTGCAATTCACCAAAAACAAGGATTAACTAAAATGCTCAGAAACATATTCAAAACCTAAAAGTTAAAACTTCTTTAAACAGAGTGACAAAAGACTAACCTTTTCTTGTAGAACTTGGGTTTGAAGCACCAAAGAAACATCTTGTTTTCGATTTCTAGAGGCAAGATGATGGTAAACAAACAGAGCAAAGCTTTATATGAAGATACAGAAGAATCTAATGGATGGTTTAGTGAATGGAGTTGAAGTAATACTCAGAATCAGAATATAGCAAAATCTATGAAGCAAAGTAACAAACCAAGAAGTTTCCTCTTAAGAGAAATATGTAGATACAAAAGATTGAAGACTTTCCTTGAAATGCTTTGGATATGGTCTTTATATATTCTCTGAAGCTTAGTTTTTTATTAGTTACTAAATATTAAAAATGTGAAACTTAGAGGACAAGCTTAAAATAATAGAGAACTACTTAGTTAACAAGGACTTTAGATGCAATCCTATAAACTTCCAAAGAACTTTCTCTAATACGACATCGTTTTTGGCTATAACATTTCTTAACTTTTTCCATAAAAAGTAATTTGACAATGAAATGTCTCCTAAGATTCGATTATACAGTCAAACAAAAAGTGTTTTATTGAGACTTATGTTAAGTAATTTAACTACTTAATCTCTAATGGTTGGACCAATTGCTGAAGCTGATGAACAACATGTGACATCCTTGGACGCATTGATGGCACATTTTGAGTACAAGAATAAACCAAGTCCACAACTTTCTGAACCACACTTGCTTCCGGTAAACCGCACGTTATAACCGGATCAAGAATCTCTAACCAACGGTTTGCTTGAACCAATGGTGTGGCCCATTCGAATATGCTCTGCCATCCAACTGAAGAATTTACCGCTTGAGTTGGTCTACGACCGCTCACAATCTCAAGCAAAAGGACTCCGAAACTGTAGACATCGCTCTTCGTGGTGAGCTCGTTTCTGTATACGTATTCGGGTGCTAGGTAACCGTAGGTTCCACCCGCCATTACGGTTCTCTCTTGCATTACTTCCCAAGGGACGAATTTTGAGAGACCAACGCCCATTAAATGAGCTCCAAACTCCTCATCAAGTAGCACGTTGCTTGCTCGGATGTCGCGGTGCACCACTTGTGGCTTGACCTTGTCGTGTAGAAACCTGTTTTTTCCACGTTTCAAATAAGTTAGATTGCAAAATAAAATCAAGTAACAGTAGATATTAGTAAAAGATTGGACTTACGCGATTCCTTGGGCAAGAGTTGTGGCGATGTTCAATCTCATGTTCCAGTCCAAGCTCCTACCACCTCTAGGCACATGGTGTAGCCATCTATCGAGCGGTCCACTAGCTATGAACTCATATACAATGAAACGTTCTCCGTGATCATAGCAACAACCTTTGATGGCCACTACATTCGGGTGATGAAGTTTAGCCGCTCGTCTAATCTCGGAGTAGAATTCTTTCTTCCTCTGAAAACTAGACCTTTTTAGTCGCTTAACCGCCACTTTAGTCCCGTCTGATAAACCACCACTATAGGTTCCACCAGTTTTCGCATCCCCGGCCAGACGGTTTGCTTCACTGAAGTTCTTCGTCATTGATCTCAGTTCTTCACTAGTGAAGATCTTCCATGACGGAGGAACTACTGATGATGAAGAAGCTGGATTTGATACTTTTCGTGATTTTCGGCGTTTTTTGCTTCGTTTGTAGACAAGGAGCCATAATATGATGGCAAATGTGGTGAAGAGAATCAAACCGCTGACAACGGCGAGGATAATTAGATATTTGTGACAATTGCGACATTTGATATCTGCAAAGAAGAGAAATTAGACAGATTAAGATCTCTCTGGAGACCAAAAAGAAGAAAGAGAGAGGTAGTAATAGAGAGGCCATTACCAGAATCAACAGCGCAAACGAAAGCATGAGACGCATTACATCTTTCACCAAAGATTGGTGCTGAACCGTTTGTCACGGCTATACAGATATTAGCACGACAAGATGAACTGCCATTGCCATTGCCACAGCGGGTGCGTAATGGCACTTTAGGAAACAAGGATTGGTTCCATTGAGGAGTCTTAGGATCGGACCAGCTCCAACGGAAACCGGAGGTAGAAGAATTCAGACTTCTTCCTCCAATCCAACAACCACTAACATTTCCAATGCAAAGTTTCTGAACAAAGCTGAGTTCTTTGCTCGATGCAACCGATGCCAAGTGACCACCATAAGTTCTACAGAACATTTCTGACTTCTCCCATGTAGTGGAGTTTCTAAAGTAACCATAGCATTTCGTTTGGTTCAATCCAATGATCCAATCAGAAGGGCAAGAAACTGTACATAGAGAATCAATAAACACTAAATTAATCTCATACATGTTCCAAAGACAATGAAGGAACAATTCAACTGACCAAGAAATCAGAATTGTAAATAAAGTTGACAACTTTGTACCTCTGTGAGAGCTTTTCTTGAAATTAGTTGCATTTTGAGTTGATTCACTTGATATCTGAAAAAAAACATATTTTAAAACTTTATAGATCAAGTAAAGAACATATATTATCACTTCAAAATTTGTTAAGAAGATTCAACCAAGTTCAAGAACCCTAATTCTTGAATCTTTTACACTTACAGTATCCAAGGACGCGAGACAAAGCAAAGTCAGACAAGAAATCAAGAACAGAGATCGTTTCTGACAAAAAACACACTTCAGCTCCATAGCTACAGCTACATAAAACCCTGAAAAATTTAACGAATTTAGTCTCAATTAGACAAATCAGAAACCCTTATATGCAAACGAGAAGAAGGAGAATCGGGAAAATGGAAATTACCGTTAAGTCATAACATCTGAAAGAAAGACGCAGACTTTATGCTGGAGAATTGAAGCTTTTGTTGCTCAGAAGGTTTTTTTTTTTTTTTATGTGTGTGTAACTGGTGAATTGCAGAGTCCCGACAGAGAGAGAAAAAAAGGTTTTAATGGCGAATTTATTGGAGGAGACAGTAGACGGACTTCGGACAAGTCAGTGGGTAGTTCGGAAAATGAAAAATCTTACTATTTTTTTGAAAATAATTTTGGCCCCTAAATTATTTGATTTTCCAATTTCTCACCCTATATTATCATAATGTTACTATCACAACCTGAAACCTAATGTTCTTTTTTTTTTTGTGTGTGAGATAATTCATCCGATTCTCATGATTATAATAAATTCACAATTTATAAATCTATTTTAGCTTTTAATGAATACCTTGGAAAATATGGTGTATTTTTTAGCTTAACTCTTAGGGTTAATTATTTTTTTAGGTTTTACGATTTAAAATTTGGGGTTTATGGTTTATATTTGGACTATTTTTTCAATTTCTTTTTTTAAAGTAGATTGTTTTGATATAAAATCTAGAGTTTATTTATAATTTTAATTATTTTCCATAGTGATTTTTAGGCCTGGACGTTTGGATATTCGGGTCGGGTTTTTCGGGTTTAGAAAAATAAGATCCGTTTGGGTATTTTAAAACTTCGGGTTTGGATGGGGTTCGGATCGGGTATTTCGGGATCGGATTTGGGTTTACCCGAAGTATCCAAATATTAAAATTTTTGTATTAGATTCTATGCAAAGTATTAAAAAATACTCAAAAAATCTATAAACCCCAAGTATTTTTTACCTGAATCTAGCCAAAAGTAGCTAAAACACCCGAAAAAATCTTAACATCTGAATAATTTAGGCACTTAAGTTATTACAAGTATAAATATTACTAATATATTATAACTATGTACTTATATTTCGGGTATGTTCTGGTATTTGTTCGGATTCGGGTTTGGGTGGGATTCGGGTTCGGATTTTTGGGTTGTGAAGTTTAGAACCCGTTCGGATATTTTAAAACTTCGGGTTCGGGTTCGGATTACATTTTTTGGGTCGGGTTCGGATATTTCCAGGCCTAGTGATTTTTTTCTCTTGTTAAATTAAATGTTTTTTTCCCCATTTTTTTTTGCCAAAAAATGTAATATGATAAGAGTGTCTTTAACATTATAAAAATAGAAAACTAACATAAACATTTCAGAAAAGATACGATAAATTGGACAAGATAATCATTGCCATCGATTATAAATTCACGGCCGGTTAGCCTTTCTACTTGAAGATTCCGGGGAAGAAGACCACTGTATAAGAGTAAGATAGAGACGGAGGCCACAGGATGTGCCACCACCGCAGCCACTAGATTCACCACTGAATTTAGTAATGAAACAATAATCACCTAAACGACACAAAGAAATTAAAACTAATCCATCAAAAACAAACTCATCAAAATCTTAAGAAAAAAGTGATCAAGTCCATGACATGCATATATAGACTATTCTTGTATATAGTATTCCGTCTTAATCTCCTATGCATGTGAAAGTATAACATCGACTTGAATATGCTACGAACGAGGGTCTTTTACGTGAACCATTGTTCTTGGTTCATGGTGTATTTTAATACAAATTGTTTTTGTAAAAGTAATAGAGGCAAAGAGAGAAAAATGTACCATGAACGAGGAACGATGGATTAATGGTTTCCTTGACTTGAGAAAAAGGTTTATGACTCTATCGTGTCCAAAATCAAAACCTTCTCTTGACGATCTCTAGTGACCTTCCTCTGAGCTCAAGAATGTTTTAAAGGAAAACAAGATGAAAAAAAAAGGAAAATAAAAAACCCGTATAACCGAAGACCAAAATAAAAGAAGCTTTTATGATACTTACTTGGAGGACAAAACCACATTTATGGAACAAATTGTTCCCCAAGTATTTCAAGTCTTGAAATTTGAGACTCAAAATCACAAATTTACTTTTAGAGTTATTATGATTGAAGCCAAACAAATCGGTTTGTGGTTTTCGAAAAGAGTCCAACACAAAAGGCTTATTAAATCTAAAGGCCCATGGGCCTGTCTTAATGATCCAATAAACAATTCAGAACCCTAATAAAAAGAAGAAAACCCTAGCTTTATATAAACTTTTGTTGACCTACCGTCGTCACTTCCTTCTCCTGAAGCCGGAAACCTTAAGGTTTTTATCTGGAAAAAAAAACTCGCATTCGCTTCAATGGTGATCCACAATTCTCTCTCTCTCTATCCCATCTCTATGCTTCATTGATTTCATTTCACTGATTTGGTTTATCGATTTGTTTTTGAGATTCTCAGGGTAAGGGAACGGGAAGTTTCGGAAAGAGAAGAAACAAGAGTCACACTCTCTGTGTCAGATGTGGCCGTCGCAGTTTCCACATCCAGAAGAGTCGTTGCTCTGCTTGTGCTTATCCCGCAGCTCGCAAGAGGACTTGTACGATTCTCTTCTCTTCTTTTCTCTCATTTTTCTTCATTTCAATTCGTTATATAGTATTGCAGATCCATTGATTCTCAAAAAGAATTAGGGTTTTTCTGAGATTAGGGTTTGGTTAAGGATTGAATCATTCGTTATTGCGTCTCATTGATTCTTCAATTATACTTGAAGGTTTATTTTTTTCCGTCTAGAGCTTCGTTAGGCATATGAATTCTAATTATCGATGAAGAACAAATAGCTTATTTAGATAAATCTTTGAGTATAATTGAAAATACTATGATACTTTAGTAAGAATTTACATAACTTTGTGAAGAACTTCTCTTTTTCTTCGAAATCTAGCTATAAATTCCACTGTCTTCTATTCGGATTTTGTTATTTGGCATTTGTGAGTGTGTAGAAATTCCACTGTCTTCTATTCTAATTGAGAGTGTATTGATGTTGTTAGACAACTGGAGTGTGAAGGCAATCCGTAGAAAGACTACTGGAACTGGAAGGATGAGGTATCTCCGCAATGTTCCTCGCAGGTTCAAGACTGGTTTCAGAGAAGGTACTTTATTTCACCATTTCCACTTAGTTTTCTTTCATTCACCAGTGTAAAGGAATGGGTCTTTATGATCGAGTTGTTGTACATTTTTTTCTTGCTTAGGTACCGAAGCCAAGCCAAGGAACAAGGCAGCAGCTTCATCAGCTTAAACTGGTTTTTGAGCATCAAGGGAGAGAGAGTAAAAACTTAGATTTTGGCTTGGCTCTGAGTTTGTTTGTTCACAAGATTATTATTTTTAAGTACCTGATTATGACTTCCTCTTTGTGTGCTCTTTACTTTTATAAAGTTTTGGACTTGGATGATATTTCAATTTGCAAGTCTTTTTTCTCTATTTATGTATTTCGTGTTACTGCTAATCATTATGGTTCTTTATCAATTGTGTGTCCATCCGAGCGATAAAGACTGACAAACTCATTAGGGGTTTGATCATGTCCTGGAAATTGAACAATTGAGTAGTTCCTTTTCAATTTTCAATTGTTGAAATGAAATTTCAGAGTCTGTTCTCTTAAATCCGTATTCTTAGGCTCACTAACATTCATAATTAAGCTGAGTAACTTGCAATTTTGGTTTTAGGAACTTTTGTGTTTGTATATGTATAATCCGATAATAGGACTTACAGCAGAAATTTTGAGATTAGGGTCGAAGATGAACATATATTTGACGTTTGTATAATAAACTCGAGCCTCTAGTTTCGATAAGTGAGCTGAGAAGATGGCCTCGTAAATGGGCTTATGAACGAAGAAGATGGACTTGTGAACTGAAAATATGGGCTTTTGAGCTGAGAAGATAAGCTTAAGAGCTAAGGCCCAAGGAGATGAGCTTAAGGATGACCACGGTTACGGTTTATTAACCCCGGGTTACGGTTATAAAATTTTTCTAACCGTAACCTTAACCGTTATATATACGGTTAAAACGGTTACGGTTAAATACGGTTACAGTTGCAACGGTTACGGTTAAGTACGGTTACAGTTATTTAATTATTACGATACGGTTAATATCAAAGACAAAAGTTTAGGTATTTTTAACCTTTAGAATAAAAATTTAATAATGATAATCAAATAATATTTATTTTACAATATATAATATATGTAATTATGTACTTTAATATTTATAGTTAAATAGCTATTTTATTATGTTAAGTAAACCAACGAATAACTAAATCAATGGTAATAATTATAATAATTGAGTTATTATTTTATTGACATACGTATTCCAAACAAAACTATATAAAGGATGCTATGAGAATTAAGAAACGATTACGAGAGTAGAAATAATAACTTGTAAATTATTTATGATTTGATTTGTGGAAAATGAGTAGTGGACTAGTGGAGTGGTTTAAATTTAGTAGTGGGCACATTGAACCATTTAAGGCACTGCTTTGGTGAAATAATTATGTATTTTAGGTTTTAACTGCACGGTTAACTATGTGGTTAACCGTGCGATTAACCGTACGGTTGACTAACGGTTTTGCTACGTTTACGGTTAATTAACTGTTACGGTTAGTATATTTTTTAACCTTAACTAATCTATTTTTACGGTTAACGGTTACGGTTTTATACGATTACGGTTCGATTACGGTTGAGAAACGGTCCAGTTACGGTCCGAAATACGGTTACGGTTAGCTTTTGGTCATACCTAGATGAGCTCATGCAAGAGATGGGTTTCTCTTATATCTACGTTTTCTATGTTTCGGTGTCCTCGACGATAAATTGGACTGCGACCTTGACGAATGCGTTGATTTTATCAATTTTCCATGGACTAGAAAATCGGCGGTTATAGTCTAAATTTAGAGGTTGAAGTGGAAAGAAGAAGTAGGAAGGTGAACAAGAGATGCAAACGGGCTGGAGTTATCTTCAAGACCAAATCAATGAAATATGGAAAAGTGACAATGGAACCTCAATGCTTGATATTTTTTTGATAAGCATCGACATCGTCTTAAGGATTTTGCATTCAATTTCGAGAGGATCACAATGATGAGATCAGTTGGGAACGTCTGTAAAATCCCATATAATCGTATTTTCTTCCTCGTCTTGAACATAACAAATATTACTCTACATAACTTAATTGTTAGGAGTAAAGCGTATTTAACCCATAACGAGCCAACAAAAACAACCAGTATGTGAAACCCAAGAAAAAATTAAATGCATTTCTTTGTTGACTCTTGGTTATCACAAAATGGTTAGCCTTGTGTGCTCTTTTGTAATTTACATGCACTTTCTACTCTTTAACAATTTTTTTTTTTCTCTTTCTTTTCTTGTCAAAAAGTAATTCTTTTTCGTTATTATCGTTCTTCTATCAAACATATGGTTCTTGATAATTGCTTCCATTGATGACTACACACTTGTCGTCCGTACCCTACCACTTAAATTGATTTTGATGTAAATTAATGATAAACATCACCAAACGTAATAAATCGGGTATCTGGCTGGCTTTACCGTGTACAATTTATTGAACAAACTATAAATAGAAGGAGAAAAATATACCAAGATACAATAGTTGGAAAACTATGTGGAATTAGTTGTTCAAAGAATACAATTCTTCTAAATTTGATGGGTTAGATACAATCCCTAAATCAAAGATTATTACAGTAACTAGTAGTATGTGTGTTCATATCCTTTTTTGGTCCCTTTGATTTTTTTACCTTTAAAGAAAAACTAAATACATACAATGTGAACATACTTATGTAGTAGTGTTTGCTTTTATACAGTAGTAAGTAAAAAATTTGTTAGATAAATTTAAGATAGACACATTATAATGTTAACTTATAAAATTAATTTAATTTGGAGAAATAGTTTTTATATACCATAAAACAAATTTTAGATTTTAAAATTCCGTAGAATTACATATTGTATATTGTTGAAAAAAAAGTTTTAATTATAAAAATTAGATGTAAAAGTTGTTTTCATGAGTTTATCTAAAACAATTTTACTGCGGATTGGAAAGTCGGATTGAAATTTCACTACATTAATTTTTTTTTGGTTGGATTAGTTTATCCCTAAAATTAGTCAAACTTATAAATATAGATTAGTTTAGTCCGTATAAAATAAGTCCTAATTTGACATTTGGTGTTGAATTATCCAAGATCATAGAATTTTAAAAAACTTTAAGACTTTTGACCAAATTTTTTTAAAAAGTTTAAGACTTATATGGTAAATTTTTCTTAAAAACTTGTAAAAATCATTAGTAAATGTTATTATTTTAAATTTAGACTTTAATATTAAATTTTGGAAAAAAAAAAAAAAAGACACATAAGATGTAAGAATTTTGAAGTTTAGTTGATGGTTGGTATTGGTAACTGAGAAACAGAGTGACGAGAGAATTAAAGAGACAGTTGCCAAAAGACACATAAATCTCTCAAGTGGGACGGGACCTACCACATGTCTGTCCTTTTCTTCATTCTTCTTCGTCTTCATCTTCGTCTTCACTTCCGCCATGAGAAAAACCAAATCATCATCATTTTCCGATCTAATGTCATCGTCTCCGTTCCCTTCATTCTCATCTCCACCGGCGCCGGAGTTTCTTTCCACCACACAAAACACGGCAACGTCGCCAGCTCCGTCTCAGCCATCCATCAACGGACCTTCTTGGCTGTCTCCGTTCCCGGAGACGACAACAAACATTGATGGAGGCTCGCGAAATGTAGCATTAACTGGACTTATTACTGGAGTAGTTCTCGGAGCTACGTTTGTCCTAATCGGAGTTTGTATCTTTGTCTGTTTCTATAAAAGAAAGCAGAGGAAGTTGAAGATGAAGAAGAAGAAAGATCTTGAAGCTATACTAGCTCCCAAAGGTACTTCATTTTTATTTAGGGTTTATTTATTTCCAAAGATTCAATCTTTTTTATGAAATTATCAATTCCTCTGTTTTTTTTTTTTTTTATAGAAAGTAGTAATAATCTTCAGCAATGGGGTTCATCAGAGATTGGACACAACTTGTTTACATATGAAGATTTGTCTAAAGCAACTAGTAACTTCTCCAACACTAACCTTATTGGACAAGGTGGGTTTGGTTATGTTCATAGAGGAGTTCTTGTTGATGGAACTTTGGTTGCTATTAAGCAGCTTAAAGCTGGAAGTGGACAAGGTGAACGAGAGTTTCAAGCTGAGATACAGACTATCAGTAGAGTTCATCATAGGCATCTTGTTTCTCTTCTTGGTTATTGTATCACTGGAGCTCAAAGGCTACTTGTTTATGAGTTTGTGCCTAATAAAACTCTCGAGTTTCATTTGCACGGTGAGTTTGAGATTAATGGTTCGCGTGAATTCTCGCTTTTTCGTTTAAACTTATGGTGATGTTTGTAGAGAAAGGGAGACCGGTAATGGAGTGGTCCAAGAGGATGAAGATTGCTTTGGGTGCAGCTAAAGGATTGGCATACTTACATGAAGATTGTGAGTAATGTTCTTCTTGTCTTTGAGTTGTGTACAACATTTGTTTTATGAAGTTTGTTGTTTGTTGGTGTCACTTGTTAAAGGGGTTTTGTTTTGTTTTGTTTCAGGTAATCCTAAGACAATACACCGCGATGTCAAGGCTGCAAATATTCTAATTGACGATAGCTATGAGGCGAAGGTATTCTTGATCTTGTAAAAACTCTTATAAAGATTTTGTTTCAACTGCACTACTAATAATGTTGAACTTGGTTCATCAGCTAGCAGATTTTGGACTCGCCAGGTCTTCTTTGGACACTGATACTCATGTTTCCACTCGGATTATGGGAACATTCGGGTATGAAGCGCTCTTTCTATATGCAACCATTCAACCATAAACAACTAACAGTCTTTTGATTTCTTTCTTGTGATTTTTTCTGGATGAAGTTACTTGGCTCCTGAATATGCATCTTCCGGGAAACTCACTGATAAATCAGATGTCTTCTCATTTGGAGTGGTGCTTCTTGAATTGATAACCGGACGCCGTCCTGTTGATAAATCACAGCCTTTTGCTGATGATGATAGCCTCGTTGATTGGGTTGGTTACTTTGTTTCCTTTACCACCAAATCCTCAACTTTAATAAGCTACTAATTATTTCCACAATGCTCTAGGCGAAACCTCTGATGATACAAGTTCTAAACGGTGGCAACTTTGATGGTCTTGTTGACCCGCGGTTAGAGAATGATTTTGATATCAACGAAATGACGAGAATGGTTGCTTGCGCTGCTGCTAGTGTCCGTCATTCAGCCAAACGCCGCCCAAAAATGAGCCAGGTACTATGTAGCAACATTCGACCTCACACACACTAGGATAAAAACCGATACTTTGTTTGTGAGTTAAACTTGGTGTCATTGCTCTTTGGACAATTGCAGATAGTTCGAGCATTTGAAGGAAACATATCTATAGATGACCTAACAGAAGGAGCTGCCCCAGGACACAGCACTATCTACAGCTTAGACGGGAGCTCGGATTATAGCTCAACACAATACAAAGAAGACTTGAAGAAATTCAAGAAAATGGCTCTTGAAAGCCAGACATTTGGTAGCAGCGAATGTAGCGGTTTGACTAGCGACAATGGTCAGAACCCATCAGTCTCGTCTAGCATCACTGAAGGCCAACGTACAACGCAAGAGATCGAACCGGAGATGAAAACCAATGAGACAATAAGTTAAAAACAGAGGATTCTTGGTAATATAGTTAAGTCCAGCATTTTGGGGTAGGTTTAGGTGTAAACAAACACATTATTACGCGCTTTCACTTTTATTTTCTCATGTGTGGCTCTAATCAAAACTGTCCTGAGCCTGATTTTTGCACGTGAATATTATTTCTTAGAGATTTGGTGTGTAGATATTTAAAAAGATTCAATCAAAGCTAAGACTTTATGATTCTTTATTATTTTTTGGCCTTGATATATTATTATTTGAGAGGAAATTATATTTATTTAGTCTCTTTGATATTTTTGTAAAGCATGTATTTTTTGTTGTCCATGCAACTTTGAAGGAAAAAAAAAACACACTAAAAGTCACTAAATTCTTTTGTTATTTTGCAAATGAAATCCCATATAATACTCAATTAACCGATTTTAAATTCAGGGAAAATAATTTTTTTTGTAAGCATGGTGTTGATTATTGAAGGAACATTACTACATTAGTCAATGGTGATTAAAAAACATTTGAAAAAGTAAACATAATTAGACCCATTAGACCGTTTGAAGATTTCTTTATGTAATAATTAATCACTTTCTAAATTTTTTATAATAAGATTAGTTAATGACTAATAAAAGGAGGGGTAATTTTGGAAAAATAAAAGATTTTTAAAATAGTGTATCTTGCTGTTATTTAGCTAATGAAGAAGAAGAAGAACCAAAAGAAAGAGAGATTGAGAAAGACAAAAAAAACAGAGACAGTTTCTTCGCTGAAAAGAAAAACCAAAATAGCTAAATCCCTAAAAGTTTCCGTCAATGTCTTCTCGCCGGAGAGTTCTTCTTAAGGTTATCATTCTCGGTGATAGCGGGTAAATCGATTTGAAATTTCGATCTCTATATGTTTTTAGATTTGATGTGGTTTTATCTGTCCATTGAATGAGATTTTTGATCCTTTGTTTTTTTTTTGTTTGGCCAGGGTTGGGAAGACTTCGTTGATGAATCAGTATGTTTCTGAAATCCAGATCTATGTCTCTTTTTACTTATATAATGTGTTGATAAAAGTTCTTTTTTTTATAGGTTTGTGAATCGAAAGTTCAGTAATCAGTATAAAGCGACGATTGGAGCAGATTTTTTGACTAAAGAGGTTCAAATTGATGACAGAATCTTCACTTTACAGGTTATCTTTGCTCAATTCTCTGAATGAATCAAACATTTTGATTCTTAGAATATTCTAATTGGGATCATAGGTTCCTAACTTTATTGGGTTCATGTTTTGGCTTTGTGAGTACCAATTTATGTGTGTTTTCTTAGGGGAAAATACACTCTTTTGAATCTCTTAGTACATTATACAGATTTGGGATACTGCTGGGCAAGAAAGATTTCAAAGTTTGGGAGTCGCGTTTTACCGAGGAGCGGATTGTTGTGTTCTTGTGTATGATGTCAATGTTATGAAATCTTTTGATAATCTTAATAACTGGAGGGAAGAGTTCTTGATTCAGGTAATACCTCTATCTAACCATGTCATTTAATAAGTTTGGGAATATCTTTGCTTATAATCTATAAATGTTTCATCGTCTTCATCGTGTCATTGTTTAGGCTAGTCCATCGGATCCTGAAAACTTCCCATTTGTCGTGTTGGGTAACAAAACTGATGTTGACGGTGGCAAGAGCCGAGTGGTTAGACTCTATCTTCTTCATCTTCATTTCATGAATACTAAAAGTGTATCTAGAGTTTGGTTTCGATAAAGTTATCCCATATTTGTCAGGTTTCTGAGAAAAAGGCAAAGGCATGGTGTGCATCTAAAGGAAACATTCCTTACTTTGAGACTTCCGCCAAAGAAGGATTCAATGTAGATGCGGCTTTCGAATGCATAACCAAAAATGCATTCAAGAATGAACCTGAAGAAGAACCGTAAGTATAACTATATCCCATACACACATATCTTTTGGTAGATTTGCATCATTTTAAGTCGTCGTAGTCTTATCTTCTGACCTTCTCTGATACCTCGCAGGTACCTTCCCGACACCATTGATGTTGCTGGAGGTCAGCAACAAAGATCAACAGGGTGTGAATGCTAATCAAGCAAAACTTTGTTGCAGATATATTGTTTTGTTTGGCACATTTGATTTTGTACCAATATATTATAACTTTCGGAAATGTAATTTCAGTTCATTGAATTACAGATTGTAATGAATTGGGTTCCTTTTTTTCTTTTGGATTCCACACAATATCGAAATCATGTAATGTCACAAAAAATTCTCATCTATGATCTCTCTCTTTCTGTTTCTTATGTCTACATTTCCTCAAACGTATGACTACAATTCATCTTTAGCAGATCCATCCTTTGGTTTCAACTCTTCGTTGATAAAAACAGCCATGTCCTTCGCGCTCAATTTCGTTGATAGCTTTAACTGCAAATAAAAACGGGTAAGATACATTACGTAGAAGGCTTTATAAGCAAAAACAGAAGTAATGATGTCGAAAAGGGCTTGAGCTAGTGAGCTCTTTCAAAATGGTTATTACCGGTTTCTCCTTTTCGCCAGATTTGTAGAGCAAAATCATCGGATATTCATCATCAACCTGTCATTAACAATCAATAAGATTATTCCGTGTTTCGGTAATTGCCAGTCTTGTTGCAGGGTAGATTTGACTCACCTGTAGTTTAGTATGCTCATTTGCAGATGCATCAATTCTTGCAAAAACAAGCTTCTCAAAGCCTTTAAAATGCTTAGCCAATTTCTCGACTTGTTTGCTCAGTGCCTCGCAGTTCACGCACCACGGTGTATGTACCTGTTTTCGGTTTCAACCACAACATCCATAGTTTTAATGTCGGTTTCAGTTAGTTAAAAAAGTTTGGTTTAGCAGAAAGGTTATTCAGGATAACAAACCTCAAGAATAACATTCTCGCGGCTGTTTAGTACCAACTCATCAAAAGTCTTTCCTACCACAGTCACTATGCTTGCGTTATCCTGCAGATGCACCGGGTCATTTGAGCTTAGCTCGTAAATGTTCCAAGTCTCTTCAGACTCGACAATATCCCAACAAGAACATCAAAACAGGATTCTATATCTCATACTTACATTATCTGGAACTGGCTCTGACTTATAGTAACGTGAAACAGTTCCATGAGCAAGTCCTGAACAAAACTCCTAAATTACCAATCGAAAAGAGGATCACATGAATCAGTTACCATATGAATATTTGATAGGAAAAGAAAAAAAGGTAAAGCAAATTCATACTTCTATATTGTTTGGTGATGGAACTGATTCGAGCAAATACTTGGAGTTCAGGTTGTTATCAAAAGCAGCAATCTGTTGATAAAAAACTATAGATTAGTCCCACATTGGCTTGTAGCTTTATTATCAGTAGATCACAAAGTGTCGATTACACATACGGAAACAAGTATCAGAAACTTACAACAGTTTTATTCCCAGCTTCTATTCCGAATAAGGTCAAGAATGGCATTGCAAGGTTCTCATTTGTTATATCGACATATATAAACATAAGCTGCAAGAAAAGAATAAACAGTTAAGAGAGAGTCTAAACACTAAATTTTGTCTGGTCTTTAAGATAGCGTAAGAGAATTACCTTCGATTTAAATTTTCTTGCAATATCTTCAAGAGGCTGAGAAAGTTTCTGAAAGTCATCAGCCTTGGAGAAGAGCATAACCTAACGAAGGAAGAAAAAAAACCGAATTACGATTAAAACATAATCAAAAGCAAACAAAGATAGAACAAAAACTGGTAGCAGATACAAACTGAAAACATAAAAACTTCTAACCTGAAGCTTAACAGGACTAGAGTAAACCCAAACAGTATTGGTTTCAGTCAATTTTGTAATCAACGGAAACTTGTTGCTGCCTAGAAACTCCAATATCTTCTCCATTTTGTAAGATCCATCTGCATTGCAGACAGGTGTTACCGCTTCTCACGATATAGATAGCAGGAAAAAAAGATATAATAACAACAAGAGAGGTCTTCAAAATCAGCAGCAAGCTTACCATATACAGTGTACCTTTCAGCCTCATTTTTAACCATCCCAATAAACACATTATTGGTTTTAAAGTCAGGAAAAAGAAGTTTCGCAACATCGCTGCCGCTTGTTTCTACAAACTGGATTTCGTCATCTGATTTTGCAGCTTTAAGGAATTCGTTATGTTCAGAACCCTAAGCATACAAACAACACACATATCAACACTTACATTCAAAACCAACTCTACACTAATGATTTCCAAGGCTTCAAAATCTACATTTTCGATATCCGAAATACCTCAAACTTCTCAAACAGTCCAAGAACAAAAGTATGATACTTGTTCAGAAATCTCTGAGCTTCATCAACTGTATTAAGTGTAATGATTGGTGCACCAGTCTTCTTTTGCACCCAAATGACTATATCCTCTCTGAAACATTGACCAAAACATATATCATAAACGATTCAATCAAAATCCAATCAACTACAAACCCAAAATCAAAACTTTCTCACTAAAGCCAGAATTGCCAACAAAGAAGCCAAATTGGGGAACTTACGCAGAAGATCCACCATTGTAAGTCTGAGAAGTGCCATTAACAAAGAGAACAAGCGTAGGGAAGCCCTTAATCTCAAGCTCCGATGCGATCTTCGAATACCTATCACCGTCAATCTTAGCCATCAAAATCGGACTACCTATCTCCTTCAAAGCCGTTGCAGCCTCCGCGAATCGCGGCATAAGCTCCGCGCTTCTTGCGCACCAAGGTGCGTAACCTAGAACCATCAAGAACTCGTTTCCATCGATCACTCGCTTCGTGTTATCACCGTTGAGCTCTAGTACGATTCTCTGAGCTTTGCTCACTGTTTCGGCTTCTGATTGTTGCTCAAGTCGATCTTCTTGTAACTGTTCGTCTACTGCTAGAAGCTGTTCTAGATCGGAATCGGATCCGGGTTCGTTTGCTTCGAGATTGGTATCGGGTGATGAGTACGCGACGATGATTACGAAACTGAAGAGTAAGAGGAGAATGAAGGTAAAGGTGGAGACTTTAGAAGTGGGTTTTGAAATTAACGACATTTTGATTATGGGTTTTTCTTCGTCGGAGTTTCGACGGTGATTGATCGGAGAAGAGAAGCGATCGTCGTCAAATGAAAAAGCCTCAAATCTCACCAGGATTTACGGCGGGAGCCAAGAAGACTCACATGTGTTAGTCAAAAAGAAAAAGGAAAATTAAATTAAAAATAAATATTGTTGCTTTTTGCAAAGCAATTGATATATGAAAATTATGAAATATTTAAGAAATATTGTTTGACTAATGTTTTTAGGATTAGATAAAACATTTAGTATTGGAAAATAGTAAATAATGATAAATAATCAGAATATATAATGATAATTTGCAATTTCATTTTATTCACAAAAGTAAGAAAAAAAAACATTGATAAATTGTCAAATAGTTATGGCAATACATTATGATGGTAGTGTTTTAAAAAAATGATGGTGGTGTATAATTACTAAACTGAGGCATGCATTGTAGATTTAGACAATTTTTTCCCTAAAAAATGATGGTGGTGTATATAATCAAATAGTTGTGTTCTCTAAATCAAACTATAAAATAACTTCAATATAGACATTTTTTGCCACTACAACTTAAGCAGCATGGTAAAAAAAAAATTAAATTCAAAACTCCAATGGTCATAACTCATAAGAAGATTAAACACACCATTTGGATTAAAAAGTTGAGTATTCTAATTTCTAAGATCAAGAACAAGAATAGGTTGTTGTAGGCTAGAGAATTTACTTATTTGTGTATCTACATCAGATCAATGGGCCCTAATTAATTACCTCTTAATGGGCTTATAAATCCCAACGGCCACACCGACATTTTTACGAATTTTGTGGAAGGCTTAGCTAATCACAATATTTTTTTCACATGTTAGCTATTTTAACTAATTAATTATGCACCTCTCCATCGTTATCCATTAAGAGGCCAAGGACAAAAATACTTGGACACACGTAAGAGAGAGACACATATATCTACGCAAATGAGTCATTACACCTTATTTTATTATTACTTTTTCTTACTGTCTTGTTCCTTTTTTTAATCTTCAAATCTTCAAATTATCAACTTTGTTTCTTTTATCAGCTTCGTCATCTTGAAACTATCAACTTTTTGACTAAATTTAAAGAACAGTTGTGTTCGTTCGTGCCATTCTTTTGAATAGTTATACTAATATTTATCATCTTCTTGAAAAGACTTTGCATCCAAGAACCCGTGAGGAAGTAATTGAAATCTAAACTCAGTGAAGAGAAGACGACAAAGAAAAAGGTTAGGCACATTTTCCCATATTTTTTCTCAAAGAGGAGACATTATTTATCTTCATATGGGTTTACTTGATAAAGATTAGATACTGAAGGAATCTTTTTTTCATTTTGTGTCTTTTAGGAGTCTATAAAGATCCAAAGCTTTCCTTGTCCTTATTTCTCAGCAGAAAACTGAAAAACGTTTTGAGTTTTTGAGAGAGAGATAGAGAAAGATGTTGGAAGGCAAAGCAATGGTGGAAGATTCAGACATGCCAGTGAAGATGCAGATGCAAGCTATGTCTTTTGCTTCTCAAGCTCTTGATCTTTTTGATGTCTTTGATTGTAAATCCATTGCTGGTCACATCAAGAAGGTTAGTATCATTTTTCTTTAATTCTATTTATAAGTCTAAATACATCATTATCATCTCTATATAAATACTTGGTTAATTTTATAATGAATTCAGGAGTTTGATGAGCGATATGGGAGTGGATGGCAATGTGTGGTGGGATCAAATTTTGGGTGTTTCTTCACACATTCTAAAGGGACTTTTATCTATTTCCAATTGGAGACACTTAAGTTTCTCATCTTTAAAGGCGCTTCTACTCCTTAATTACACAACCCCTAATCATGGGGATTTTTTGTTAATTTTTTTTTTCTTTTATTACTTTTGCTTCTTTGAAAATCTGAGAAATAAATTGTAAGACTATCAAGATCTTTAGCTTTGTTTGAATCTAAGTCTGTAAATAGACCCAAGAGAGGAAGTTGATTTCAATGATGTGAGATTTTTCATTTTTACAAGTGTTTGCTTTTGTGATTAATAAAAGTGAAATGCAGAAGATTTTCTTATATGTATATTCTTATTATTGTAATGCAAACAATTAGAATAGTCCAGCCACAATAGAGAAATTCATAAACTAATCCATCATTAGCATAATTTAAATGTATTTTAAACTTTTACTTTGATAGAGAGAGATCAGAGAGGGGTCACAATCCCTAATTTAGTTAATAAATTGAGATTTTTAATACAAGACATAAACAAAAATGATTATAGATAATGTCTGTAACATGTCCTCCCTAAATCTCAATGTTAATTTTATTTAAAGAAGAATTGAGATTTTTTATTTTTATTTTTGTGTGGAGAAACTCAACTTTCTAATAACGTGCAGCCCACATTCAACCAAGTATTAATTTATAAATAGTAAAACATTTCAAGAAAATTAAAAATATTCTCTTCATTTTTTCCCAAGAGAATCTGACCAAATTCACTTGTTTATGGTTATGGACAACGAATCATAATAGTTACTAAAATAATCAGGTTAAACTAAAACCATTAACAGAAGTCAAATAATGGTGTTCTGTATTTGCTAAGTCTGAAAATCAAATACCGTTTTCTGGTTAATTAAGTTTGTTTTTCTTCATAATCTCCTAAAACTCCTCTTTATTACACGAAGAAGAAAACAATGAGAGATTAAAAAGAATTTTCAAATCGAAGATATCTTTTTATTTTTTTTATTGTTTTGATTAACTAGTAATGGTAAAAGCAATGGAGCAAGAACAAGAGAGTTACAAATCAAGATTGTTTCATTTCAAGAACATGAACGAGAACTCAGCTTCAAGACATATTAAAAGTTGGAGCTCAGATTGTGCAATGAGAATGGATGGTTCAGACAATTTGGATGATGATAATGACATGATGATGTTTAGGAGTCAACCGGGCAAATTTGGCAGCGTTGACCGACCTTCTTTGCCTCTAGGCGGAGTAACACCTAACCGCAACGACAAGCTTCCGAGAGTCGCTTCATCGGAATCCATGGAGGCACTATTAGTATTACAAGCAGGTAAAAAATCTAATGAATTGTAAGTTAGAGACAAAGTATTCTTGGATTGTAAGTTAGGGCAGAAATTGAAGTTTATGTTGTTGTTATTACAGCAATGGAGCAAATGAAAGAGAAATTTTCGAAATTGCTTCTTGGAGAAGATATGTCAGGAGGAGGAAAAGGTGTTTCATCGGCTTTGGCTTTATCTAACGCCATTACCAACCTCGCAGGTGACCTTTTTCCAAATCTTTCAGTTTCATGGAATTTAATTTGTTACCAATTTGATCTGTAACTTTTTTGATGTTGTTGCAGCTTCTGCATTTGGAGAACAACGGCGTTTAGAGCCAATGGCGGCGGATAGAAAAACGCGTTGGAGGAGAGAAATTGGATGGCTTATCTCTGTGGCTGATCATATAGTTGAATTCGCTCCAACACAACAAACAAACAAAGATGGTACTTCAATGGAAGTCATGTCAACAAGACAAAGAACAGATCTTCTCTGTAACATCCCTGCACTTAAGAAACTCGATGCTATGCTTCTCGTAAGAACAACAACAACAACAACAGTCCAAATATACTAATCAAATGCTGTAAAATAATCTCATATTTGTAATCTTTCTCTTGCAGGATTGTCTTGATAAATTCAAGGATCAGGATGAGTTTTATTATGTCAAAAAAGATTCTCCTGATTCTTCCGAGACAAGGAACGATGAGAAATGGTGGTTACCGGCAGTAAAAGTCCCACCTAACGGGCTCTCAGAGATATCGAGAAGGTTTCTCCAGAGCCAGAAGGAATGTGTGAATCAAGTCCTTAAAGCTGCAATGGCGATAAACGCTCAAGTTCTGTCTGAAATGGAGATTCCTGAAAGCTACCTTGAGTCACTTCCTAAGGTTATTTAATAAACACATAAACATTCATCAAGAATCTGTTATGATCTAGTCCTTATCGATGTTTTCGTGTGTTGTTGGGAACAGAATGGGAGAGCTAGCTTGGGAGATGTGATATACAGAATGATAACAGTAGAGATGTTTGATGCAGATCAATTCCTTATTGAAATGGATTTATCATCTGAGCACAAGATTCTTGATTTAAAGAACAGAATCGAAGCATCGATTGTGATATGGAAGAGGAAAATGGTGCAGAAGGACACAAAGTCTCCTTGGGGATCAACAGTGAGTATTGAGAAAAGAGAACAGTTTGAAGAGAGAGCTGAAACAATCTTGCTACTATTGAAACAAGGGTTTCCCGGAATCTCACAGTCCTCGCTCGATATCAGCAAGATTCAATTCAACAGAGTAAGTAAAAACTCTAACTTCCAAATACATTTTGGTTCTGTTTTCCTTTTGGTCATAAGAAAATCTCATTATTGGATTTTGGTTGTTTCAGGATGTAGGACTTGCAATCTTGGAGAGTTACTCAAGAGTGCTTGAGAGTTTGGCTCACACCGTGATGTCGAGAATAGAAGACGTCCTTTACGCTGACCAGCTTACTCAAGAACCTACAAATAATGCACCTTCTAAGAACAGATATAGCTTGAAGGAGAATGAGAAACTAAGGGAGGAAAGACTAACTTTCACAGAGGATATGGCTTCAGGAACACTTTCTGATGTAATGCAATGGGGTAACAAAAACAATGAAATGAAGAAAGAAAGTTTTTTCGGAGATAGAGAGAAACCGTTGTTGTCGAAAGTCACCGGTATAATGACTAACAACAAGAAGAGTTCTTATCTTGAAAATCTTGGAGCTATGAGGAGTCCAACCGCGAGATACTCCTGAAAGAAACCGGTTTCTTTTCTTTTTCTTGTAAAATTAGGTTTTCTTGCTGCATTTTCAATCTGCTTAAAGATTCCAAAACGAATAATGCACCATTGTGTTGTAGCATACTTGAAATGCAATTTCAATGATTCATCACTAGCTTACAAAGCAATCAACACAACACAACAATATACATAAATCATTAAAAAGGGTTCACAGAATTGGGAAGAAAGTTTCCAGACTTTTTCAAAGATTTAGAAAGCTAATTTAAAGCTTGCCCCGAGGACCGAGCTTAGGTGGCTCTTGAGGACCTCTCTTAATCGGAAGAACATCGCCGGTAGAGTTCGCACTGACATAAGTAAGCAAAGAACCTCCTCCAAGAATCAAAAACTTGAGAAGCAAACCTCTCTTTGTGAAAGGAGCAGCAAATGTCTCAAAGAACTTGCTCTGCAAGCAACATAGTTACAAAGTCTTAGAATTTGAAGAAGCATACAGATTTAGGGATTAAGAGATTACAAAAACCTGAAGTGGGTTATAAGGAGAAGGAGCATCAGATCCATAAACATCCCATTGTCCTGTTGTGTTACCCAAATCTTCTAAATCAAAGTATACACTTTTGTCTCCATACTTAGCCACCACAGCACCAGCTCTACACAAACCACCAAAAGTAACATCCTTTTCTTTAATACCAACCCTCATCAATCTCAATCCAAGATTCCAAATTTCAAAGCTTTAAACTTTACCTGGTGGATTTGGTTTTGAAGCTTTGGCGAGAAGGCTTGATGAAGAGCTTAGCTCCGACGAGAGAGCTGCCTCCGAGTCCTTTCACGGCGGCGGAAGGTTGAACGGCGGCGATGGTTGCAAAAGACGCCATGTTTCTCTCTTTGTTGTTTGTTGCCAAAGTAAGTGAGTGGATTGATGTAATTTGTATAGTGGAGAATCTACTTCACTCATTTGATGGATTTTGTTGTGACACGTGGCGAATTGAGTTTTCATCTATGAGATTTGGTATTCCACTTAGGAAATGCCACGTGGATTATAAAAAGATAAGGCTATCTCTAATCCATAACCAAAAATTTCTTCGTCTCTGTCTCAAAATCGAATCAACATCTTTAAAGTTTCAATTTTTTTTGCTCTGTTTTTTTTTGGAAAAAATGGCTTCAATTTCTGCAACTTTGCCTTCGCCATTGTTACTCACACAGAGAAAATCCAATCTCACATCGATTCAAAAACTCTCATTTTCTCTAACTCGAGGTACGAATGACATTTTCTCCGTTTTCTCTAACTCTCGTTTTCACCTTAAGAGTAGCCTCACTCTTATGGTGAAAGCTAGTGAAAGCTCAGAATCATCGACTGATCTCAACGTTGTTACTTCGATTCAGAATGTTGTGAGTCCCCAAAACCCTAAATAGTACTCTGTTCTCAGTTTACATATATGCCTTGTTTAGTTTTGATTTGGACATTTTTGGAATGTGTAAATTATTTATTGCAGTGGGATAAGTCTGAAGATCGGTTAGGTCTTATTGGTTTGAGTTTTGCTGCTATTGTAGCTCTTTGGGCATCACTGAATCTCATCACGGTATAGACTTAAAACTTGATCTCTTGTGCTTTAAAGTTGTGAGATTTAAAGCACTTGTTCTTTTTCTTCATTAGGCAATCGACAAATTGCCCGTTATCTCGACCGGATTCGAACTAGTTGGTATCTTGTTCTCCACGGTAAGTAATAAGGCTTGGTATAAATAATCAATAACTATAATGGATTATATATGATCTTATTGATTCTAGCATTTGATATTTTGTAATTCCGCAGTGGTTCACATATCGATATCTCTTGTTCAAACCGGACAGGTAAATTTGTTTTCATTAAATGAGATTATGAAAAACCGAATGCAAGTGTTTTTTTTTTTCTTTTAACCTAAGTCTTTGTTTCTTTTTACAGAGAGGAGCTTTCCAAAATTGTCAAGAAATCAGTAGCAGATATACTTGGGCAGTGAACGTTGTGTGATACTTCATCTTTGGAAGATGATTTGTTTGCAAGTTTGTAAAATTACATGACAGGGTTGTTGTTTCTAGTCTAATAATTTCGTGTATTTGAAACCTGTAAATACTGTATTGTGGGTTTTGGTTGTGAGCAAAATCAGTCATTTCATAGAGAAGATATCAAGATCAGACACTAAACATGTTTTAGCATGAATAGAAATTGAAAGAATAATATTTTTTTAGTGGGCTTTGATTTTCACGTATACTTTAGCAATTTGTTAACTATAACATGGGCTTTAGTTTTCACTTAAAGCCCAACAAAATTAAACGAGACCACTTAAAGCCCTTTCGATTTCATAACGGTCACTAAGTATCAATTACAGGTCTACCCTTTTGTCACTGCTCTCTGTGAATTCCAAATTTTGGAGCGATACCAAATTTCTCCGAAGGCGATCATCATAATCATCATCATCGTAAGGTATTGTTTGTTTATTTCGTTTCTTTGAATTATTTAGGGTTTCTCTCTGTCGAATTTTTTGTTTGTTACATACCAAAAATCTCTTTTTCTAAATTCAAAAAACTCCGATTTGATTTTTTTTTTTGTAAAGCAAATCCAAAAGCTTCCTTCTTTTTGAATTGCGTTATTACAATCTTAGGGTTTCTAATTTCAAAGATTTGTTTCTCTTTTATGATTATACGTTTTAAATCAGGGTTTCAATTTTATTTTCAATTGCGTTTTTACGATCTTAGGGTTGTTAATTTCAAAGATTCGTTTCTCTTTTATGATTGTTACGTTTTAAATCAGGGTTTCAATTTTATTGTTTCTGCAAATCAAAACCCTAATTTTTCAAGTGCATAGTTTCGACAAATTTGTTATTTCGCAAATCCAAAAGCCTTTCTTTAAATTTCACGATTTTGTTTTAATAGATTATGGCTTTTGTTTTGGGTTCATGTTTCTAAAGATTTGTTTTCAGTTTTCTGGAACAGAAACCCTAAAATCAATGATTTTCTTTTTAAAAGCAACGGATTTGTTTAAAGTTTTAAGCTTTCTTCAAACCCAAAAGAAAGGGACGACACATTACATGATTGTGTTCTGTCCGGTTTCTAAATTGGGAAAATTGTCCCGATGTTGTTGCCTAAGTAAAGACTTGTCAAATTGTTCTTAAGTAAAGACTTGCTGGCTGGGCAGCATGATATATCGACTTCAATAATCTGCAGAGACCTGTCTTTTATAAGGCTTGTCTAATAATGATGTCCCAATATTGATAAAAATTCAAATCAATGATCTGCTAAAGCTCTATATCTTCTTGAGCTGGGATATCTTAATCAATGATCTGCTTAAGCTCTATATCTTCTTGAGCTGTTTATAGAAGATTCAATGATCTGCTTATTGGTGGAGGGATAAGGAGATTAATGTTCTTTAACAAGGATTGTCTAGTAATGACAAACTCAATGATCTGCTTAAGCTCTATATCTTTGTTGAGCTGGGATATCTTAATCAATGATCTGTGTAAGCTCTATATCTTTGTTGAGCTGGGATATCTTAATCAGTGATCTGTGTAAGCTCTTTATCTTTGTTGAGCTGGGATATCTTCTTAATCAATGATCTGCGTAAGCTCTATATCTTTGTTGAGCTGGGATATCTTAATCAATGATCTGCTTAAGCTCTATATCTTTGTTGAGCTGCGATATCGTAGTCAATGATCTGCTTATAGACGAGGGATAAGGAGATTAATGTTCTTTAATAAGGCTTGTTTAAGGATGTACGATTGCAAAATTCAACTGTCTGCATAAACTATGGTTCTTGCTGGACTGGAACAGCATGATAAAACTATTCAATCTTCTGCATGATGATGGGAATAAATATGCCTTTTAAATGGTATCCCAAGATTGGAAAATTCAAGTTCATACTGGGCGGGGACAGTGTGGTTAATAAGTACAGAGATGTCTCAAATCTCTGCATAGATCTGCGTTGACAGGAGGTAAGTGTTCTTATTGAGGCTAGTCTAATAACGATGGCCTGAGATTAAAAAATTCAATACTCTGCTTCAAATACTCAAGAATCTGTTGATAGGAGGTAAGTCTTCTTTATTGAGGCCAGTTGATTAACGATGGCCTGAGATTGAAAACTTCAGTTCTCTGCTTCAAATACTCAAGAATCTGCATATTCATAGGAGGTAATGTTCTTTATTGAGGCTTGTCTAATAACGATGGCCTGAGATTGAAAACTTCAATACTTTGCTTCAAATACTCAAGAATCTGCATATTCATAGGAGGTAATGTTCTTTATTGAGGCTTGTCTAATAACGATGGCCTGAGATTGATAAATTCAATACTCTGCTGTAAATACACAAGAATCTGCATATTTATAGGAGGTAAGTGTTCTTTATTAAGGCTTGTCTAATGAAGTCTGATTGGGAAATTCAATATTCTGCTTAGATCTGCCATTCAAAAGGCTTGTTGAAATATGTCTCGAATTTCAAGAAATTCAAGTTGGGACTTCATAAATAACGTGTTTTCTCCTTTGTGCCTAGCTCTTGTAGCTCATCTGTTCAGCGAAGGCACATCATTGTGCAACGCTTGATGGATTCGAGGCTCGAACAAATCACTTAAGAGAGAGAGAAGAACGTACAGAATGTTCAAATATCTGCTTAGTACAAGAATATGACGTCTTGGTAAAAAGGTATGTATTTCATTTCCAACTAGATTGTAATTGTCTGCATTTTTACTTATGTTACAATAAACCAGCGAAATGTTGGATTTTGGCATTGGTCTAAGAGCAATGGTAAGTGATTTTTTTCTTTCTTATGTACATTTCTTACAAATGGTAGATCATTAAAGAATAAACCAATCTCTACTTACCTTAATTTGTTCTAACCACGTCTTTTGGTGCTTCTTCTTAACAGGGATATTGCAAAAATTCCAATTTGTAGATTATATCTTTGCCGCTTCTCATCAGGTGACATCTCTTTCCTCTTTTAAACCTAGTTATGATCTTCACAAAAGTTTACCAAAGTTTATGATTTCTTAATTGACTCAATCTTTTGGTTTCCATTATAGTTATATTTGTTGTGTCTGAATTGTTTTAGTAGTAGGAGTTTTGGGAAACTGTATGATTCTTTTGATAGGAAACTGTATGTATAAAGATTTCTTCTCTTTGTCTCCCTTACAGCAATTTTTGTCTCTTGAAAAGAAAGCTCTGGTTTTTCAGGTATGTCCTCTTTCTATTGCTTCTCAAATTTCAATTATATTAGTTATTGGCTTTGTTTATTTTTTGTTGTAGCAAGCATGAATTCGTTTAAGGTCCGTGTCAGAGACCAAATGATTGTTCTTTCATTGTAATGATTTGCTAGTTTTTCTAAAAGAAATCCATGTGATTCATAGATTGTTCACGAAGTTCAGATACTGAGCGGTGAGTGTTCAACATCATATAGCTTCTTTTTGGGCTGATATCAATCTCATTGTTCTTATACTCATTAGTGTTAATATCAAACGTATAAGACTTACAAAGCACCGCTAAGGTATTCCTCTGAAACTATCTTCACCCATGTAATTGGAAATTTTGTATGTTTTACTTTATCTCCATAAAACGTAGGGAGGATGGTTGACTTTGGTCTATATGAATTCTGAATCTTATTTCTTCTCTTGCAGGTTTTATTCATGTGAAGACTAGTATAAAAATTGATCATAAAACCTGATATGTTTCTCAAATCAGGACATCTTTGGTACATGTTCTTTTTCTCTGTTTTCAATATCTTACTGTTAGTGCTTGCGTTTTAACTTTTGTAGAATTAGTCCAATTCTTAAACCAAAATTCTCTCCCCCTCTTGAGCTTCTTCCACGGCCTCTCTAATGGCGGAACAAAATTCCCCCTAAGATCTTCTTCTTCTTCTTCTTCTTCTTCTAATCACCGGATTAGAGTCTCATCAACGGCTCCATTTCTGGCTTCAAGTGCTCTGCTTCTCTCACCAGCTTGGCTCTATCAAGAAACTCTCTTTCCGGTCCTGTAACGACTCTAACAGGCCTTGATGTTTCTCGTTGCGTGACTCTCAAGTTTCTCGATGTTTCTTCCAACAATTTCTCCATTGGGATTCCATTTCTCGGAGATTGCTTGGCTTTGCAACATCTTGACATCTCCGGGAACAAATTATCCGGTACGGTTCCTCCTTTCTTCGGCTCTTGTTCACTTCTGGAATCACATGTGTTGTCGAGTAACAACTTCTCTGGCAAGTTACCAATGGATACGTTACTGAAGATGAGAGGTCTCAAGTACTCGATCTGTCTTTCAATGAGTTTTCCGGCGAATCTGTCTGCTTCGTTGCTAACGCTAGATCTCAGCTCCAACTATTTTTCCGGTCCGATTTTCCCAAATCTCTGTCGGAATCCTAAAAATACTCTCCAGGAGCTTTACCTTCAGAACAATGGCTTCACCGGGAAGATCCCACCGACGTTAAGCAACTGCTCTGAGCTCGTTTCGCTTCACTTGAGCTTCAATTACCTCTCCGGGACAATTCCTTCGAGCTTAGGCTCCCTATCGAAGCTTCAAGATCTGAAACTATGGCTGAATATGTTAGAAGGAGAGATCCCTCACGAGCTCATGTATGTCAAGACTTTAGAGACTCTGATTCTCGATTTCAACGACTTAACCGGTGAAATCCCTTTCTAGTTAAATTTTTTAAGAGGAGCACAATAATAAGATGAATTTTTACATAATTAAAATTTTAAAACTGAAAATAAAAAAAAGAAACATAAAGATGAGAGAAATGAATTGCAATATATAGAAAAAAAAAACTTACACACTTTTTTAAGAAATGCACAATGATAAGATAAATTTTTATATAAATAAATGAATTGCACAATTCTTATATTATATTATATTATATAAAGAAATGAATCACAATGATAAGATAAAATTTTATATAAAAAAATTAGATAATCTTATATTATATTATCATTGAAATTAATTTCTCATAACTATTTTTAACAAAGATTTTCATTTATTATTTACATATTTTTAAAAAATAAAATATAGAAAATAACTCAATTTGCTAACCAATATATTATTTATATAAGTATTAATTTAAATAATTTTAGTATTTATCTATTAGTATAAGAGTTAATTAGTCTAGATAGTTTTATCTATTTTCTTTAGATATTATTCAGTTATTCTTTTAGTATTCATAATTATTTGATGATATTTTCAGTTAATGTCTTAATTATTTTTCTAGATTCTAACAAAAAATAAAAAATAAATAAATCAGCTAGATTAAGGTGTTACTATTTACAAATATAAAAATTCAGTCAAATTCATTCAAAATGCACTAAAACATCATCTAGATTTAGCAATTCAGCCATTCCTCGATTACCATTTAGACACTATATATATATATATATATCAAGAGCTAAATGGAGAAGAAAACTGAATCACTTTTCTCCATAGACGACGGAGAGATTATGTTGTCTTCTTTGATTTGGTGGTCGGACGTAAATGATTCGCTGATTTGGGAGGATGAGATCTTCTATGTCCTTGCTATTATCTATGGAATCGTTTCCATCTACTCTTTGGTACTACTACCTGCATTTTTTAGATTTTATTTCTCTTTTTTGAACTTGGAAACATTTTTGAAACTATGAACTACATAATCGTTATATCTACTGTGGAACTAATGTTTTTTTTTTTTTTTTTTTTTTTTCTTAAAAGGGCTTTTAATTAAGAGAAATCTAAGAAATGTGCCACACAATGTAGCAATTCTTACCAAAATTGTCATAGCCCACAAATCCTTTTCAATTGTGCCACAATCCAAATTCTAACCCAACTTGCAAAGTCCAATTTACCCTTTAGAGAAAAAGCTTTTTTGTTCAATCTTCATTCCTCTCTCATCTCTCTCTCTCTCCCTCTCTCTTTTTTTCTCTAAAAAATGAAGCTCAATCTCCCTAGATATAAGAGTTCATCACGTTTTCGATCTAGGAATACATCGTTGGCGATTTAGCGAGATTAAAAATCTGGGTCTGAATCTGGTTTGGAAAGTGGAAGCGAATCTAAATCTGAGAAGGAAGAAGATACATGTGGACAACATTTCTTGTCTACCAAAATTTTCGAATTATTTCGTTTCGAATTCTTGTCCACCAAATTTCTTTGAAGTCTGTTTGTTTCAAATGTAGACAACATTTGTTGTCCTCCGAATATCTTCTCAATCTATTGTTTCAAATGTGGACAACATTTCTTGTCTACCAAAATTTTCGAAATATGCCGTTTTGAATTCTTATCCACCAAATTTCTTTAAAGTCTGTTGTTTTAAATGTGGACAATATTTGTTGTCCACCAAATATCATCCCAATCTGTTGTTTCAAATGTGGATAATATTTTTTGTCTACCAAAATTTTCCGAAACAAAGTTTTGTCCACCAAATATCTGATATTTAGATATTTTCGTCTGAGGGTATTTTCGTCTTTGTCTGTCTGCCATAAAGTGAAAAAATGGCAAATTGAGAAAAGAAAACTTTTTATGGCAATTTGTATAAGTTTTGCTACAGTAAATGGCACATTAGACCAAAATCTCTTTAATTAAATACAGAGTAACTAATGATTCGTTTTGTTAGATTCAACTTGTCAGATTACAATTTAGAGTCCAACTGATCAGAGTTCTAAATCATGTCTGGACGACACAACATGCCTTTTACTTTCTCCATTTCGGGCTGCATGGAGGTTGGTGCTAGCTGAGAATTGTGACTTTGCAGTGTTTCATAGATCTTAATGTTATGGGTTGATTTTGCAGTTAGGGCTGTGGTGTTTGTCTTCAGGCGGAATGTGATGAACATGGATTCACAGGTCAAGTCTTATATGTTTGTAGTTTTTAATTTTAGTTTAGTTTTCTTCTTTAGTCAAGATTTTACAAAAAGTAAATTAGTTACCCAATTTGAGTGAAAAACTAAAACTGTATAAGCCATTAATGTTTATAGTTCTTAAAATACTTTTTGGATTTTGGATTTGTTCCTCTTTTTTTTTCTTTAATACTTAATTTGATTGGTATTTAAAAAAAATGTTTTTAGTTGTAAAAAAAATCAATTTATAAGATAGTTTTTGTTTAGTGTGTTTAACATTAATGAAATGAATACCTAAATTGTTAAACATATTAAACACACAAAACAAAAACTATCTTATAAATTGATTTTTTTTACAACTAAAAACATTTTGAACAATCAATAATATTTTGAACAAACATTTTGAAAGCAAAGTTCTGTGTAATATTAATTAAAAATAATATATTTCATCCATATTATATTTTTATTATTACATATCAAAATTTTGTTACATATATTGATTTTTTAATTGATTTTTTTATAATTCATAAATCATCCATATTAGTTACATATATAACTAATACAAAATTTTGATATGTAATAATAAAAATATAATATGGATGAAATATATTATTTTTAATTAATATTACACAGAACTTTGCTTTCATTTCGCATAGAATTAGTTAAACATTAATGGATAATAACAGAAATCTTTTGATTTTAATTACAAATAAAAACAAAATTGGTTTTAAATTTTAATTAGGAGAACCCATGTGGTGGGTTTCTGCTTTTTGATTGAAAATTGGTATAAACATTAAAAAAAAAACTAATTTAAACACTACAAACATTTTTTTTTTTGAATAACCGTGGGTCTCCCAAAGGCTTCCTAGACCCAAAGACTAATCCCACGAAGCTGGCTATTCCCCTATGTAAACCTGCCAGTGGCCGTGCCTCGAACCCTGGTGGCGGAAGTCACAGCTGTGACCCTTTTACCACTAGACCACAAGGCCCGGTTCACTACAAACATTTTAATGTCAACCTTTCTAATTTACAAAACTTTGATGGTTATCTTGTAGATTATGCAACATATCTTTCTTGATATTCCAAGTCTTGGTTTCTTCACAACCTATGCTTTTTTGTTTCTCGCATGGGCAAACATTTACTATCAGGTAATTAAATTCTGAGTAATCTTATTATTCTTTTTCCTTCTTTGGTTCTGATATTTACTCCACATTCTATGACTGGATAGGCGCGTTCGATATCCACCGATGGACTAAATTTTAGCTTCTTCACAATTACTGGAATTGTATATATAGTCCAGGTATATTAATATATACTCCCTCCGTTTCAAAATATAAGACGTTTTGAAGAAACTGTTTTGTTTTAAAATATAAGTCATTTTCAAGTTTCTATGCAAATTGTATATTACTTTAATATTTTATGATTATTTTTATTATGCAGTCTCTTTTATGATTGGCTGAACTTTAAAAAGTAGATCTTATTAATCGGCGTGCTTTTAGCTAAAACGCCTTATATTTTGAAACGGAAGGAGTATAGTTTTGTTTGTTTAATCTAAAAGAATATTGTGAAAATTCAAAATGTAATTTTGTCTTGTGCATAGGGTTATAATTAACTTTAACTTTCAGATATCTCTTTGGTTGCTTTGGATGTGCAAGCCTGTTGGAGTTATGCTAATCCTATCTAAGATGTTCTTAGCAGGTAATTTACCCACGCATGATTACACTATATTTGGCTTGTTATATTATATATGGTACGTTACTTGTCTCAACTCTCATGCCAATATAATTGTAGGTGTTTCATTGTTCGTCGCCCTTGGATTTTTACTTCACGGTAATTCTGTCGTACTACATTTGATATTGTGTTGCCGAGAGTCACCATTGGGGAACGAGTCATCATGCTTGCATTCTTGTGCATTCTTGTTCTCCTCTGATAGCATAACTAGATTCTCTTGGTGTTAAAGCCGAGTAAATGTTCTTACCAATTTAATATGATCATGCATTTGAGCTTGATTTAGTGTCCTTGTATGCCTATCTTCTGGCAGGCTTTTCCTAATGATTCATCGGTTTCCAATAGAAACTAAAGGGCGTCGCAAGAAGTTGCAAGAGGTGAAACATTAAATTGTACAAGATCATAGTGTAACCAATCAAGTATATATATGACGCTGCTTGACTCTTTACACTCTCTTTCTCTCTTATGTATGCTAGATTGGTTATGTGACAACAATATGCTTTACGGGTTTCCTCATCCGAGGTATCATGGTAAAGACACACACACACAGACACACACATGTTTATGTTGATATCTACCAATCCTTACCTTCTTGCTTAGACTTTAGAATGAACAACTAACCAAAGGTTTTGTCCTTTATTATGGTTAAGATGTGCTTTGCTACTTTCTATGAGGGAGCAAACCTTGATGTGATGGATCATCCAATCCTTAATCTCATATATTACTTGGTAAGCTCTCTCTTAAACTAATCATAAAATCTGTTCATAAATCTTAAGTCTGATACATAATCAAACCATTGTTTCTGCTTGAAACCTAATCTTGTTGCTTAATTACAGTTGGTCGAGATAATACCGTTTTCTCTGGTCATGTTTATCTTGAGAAAGCTCCCACCAAAACGAGACATCACACCAAAAGATGTACACGAAAGTTAATGATCAGACCATTATTAATCCCAAAAATTCTCCGAAGAATCTCAAGCTTTCTATTTCATTTCAATGTTTGTTTCTATATATCTAAGATTTTGATCTTGATGGCCTTTCTCCATTTACTTTTGAATAATAAATCTGTTTAACACAAGTTTCAAAATGCGTTTAATGGGGGATGGGGTTCGGATTAAAGTTTTAAATCATGTCTTTTTAAACCAAATATGATACTAATTTAAATATTGCTACCCCAAATAATCTCTTGTTTGTGTTAAGGGTCGGGTCTAGGATCCAAGACAAGAACAATAAAAGCCTATATAAATTTTGTTGTTTTATAGAATTGTTGAGTCATGTATTGTAGGTGATGTATGATATCTTGGAGCAGCTTGATTGGGCGTCTCTCTCCTAGTGACTCCTCATGCTCTAAATGGTAAGAAACCAAAACAATTCAGCCGAATTCAACTAGATTCAGCAATTCCGCAAACATCATTTGCATAAAATTAATTCAGCTGAATTCAGTCAGATTCAATAATATTTTCAACATCAGTTCACATAGGTTTATGTTCACTTCGGGTAAAAAACTCCAATAATAATAAATACACAACTCGACTTAAAATATTTTAGATATCAAAAATTACACCTCAAATTTATATTTTAAAATAAATTAGATAATATGGATACGATTTATGAAAATTCAGATACATAAAATCACTAACATTATGGACAAGAGTAGAATTCATGTTCGGATATTTCGGATAACTATGAATAATTTTGGATAGTTTTAATTTCTTTTAGATAATTTAAAATAAAGTTATAAAATTTTGCAAGAATAACTTATGGCTATGCTAAAAATATTATTTAAAATATCAAAATTTAAGTTACTCATCGTCATCATATTATTGATTAAAGTACTAAAAGCAATTAGATAATCTTAGAGAAATTTATGAAATCTGCCACAAAGTGGTGGACCCCTTTCTGCAAATACCACATTTTCGAAAACTCCTCGGATATACCACATTCTTGTGGTAGTTTTTACTTGATCTGACCAAAATACCCTCTATTTTTGGTTTGGAAAGAAGGAAAAGTTTGTCTTCTTTCATTTGTAGTTGTGTCTTTACAGACGAGGACGTGGAAGAGTAATAAATGAGGCAAAAAGCAAATATTTAATTATAATAAATATGTTCTGATTTTGGTGAAATGATTCACAAACAACAAAAAACTAGTCAACGTTATAGGCATTGTGGTGAGTTTATGATAGTGTTTTTTTTTATAGGAAGTTTATGAGAGTATGTTATTAATGCAAATAATTATTGTGGACATATATATATTATGGACAATAATTATTTATAAAATTAATAATTTACATTAGATGTGGTGAGCTTATGAGAATATGTTGTTAATGCAAATAATTTTGTAGACTATATATATATATATATATATATATATATATATATATATATATATATATATATATATTATATTATGGACAATATTTATTTTTGTAAATATTAATAGAATAAACTTAAGTTTGTCTACCAAAATTAAATGGTATAGAGTTAAGAGAAGATGTTTAAGTTTGGTTAAGTTTGTCCTTTAAAATAAAATAATGAAATATAACCTGAAAGAAACCATGTATAAATATCATGGACAATAATTATCGTGAATATATATGATATGGACTAACAAATCTTTATATAATGTACAATATAAGTTTGTCCATGGACAATACGAAAGATAAAACATTTTATGAGGATAATATTTGTTCTGTAAACACTAATAGAATAAACTTAAGTTTGTCCACTAAGATTAAATAATATAGAATTAAGATAAGATATTTAAGTTTGATTAAGTTTATCTAAAATAATAAAATATAACATAAAAAAAACCATGTATAAATATTGTGGACAATAATTATCGTGAATATATATGATATGGACTAAAAAAAACTTTATATCAGGTACAACATAAATTTGTCCATCAATTTTTAGTGGACAATACGAAAGATAAAATATCTCATGTAGACAACGCCACACGAAAGATTATAATTAGACAAAATTGTGGCTTAGAAATGACTGCGACAACATCGACGAGCTCCGGTGATAACAACAGTTTGGACGACATTGTGAAACGATGGCGGTGCCTCAAATCTTAGAATGAAATGAGACGGAAGAAGACGACGAGATCTCCAAGTACAAAGGCGGTGACGGCAGTGATGATGAGCTCCGACGATGGCTAGTTCTTGGATCTCATCTTGATTATTAACCACAGAAGTGGTGAAAGAGAGAGGAAAAAAAAAAGGAGAGATCATGGGAGAGAGAAAATAGATAATAAAAAGAATGAGATAATTTGTTTGTTTTCGTCTTTTTTGTCTAGTTAATTTGGAGGACATTTTGGTCATTTCTTGTTTTGTATTGTGGTATAGAGGAATTTTTTTTTAAAATGTGGTATTTTTGTGGGATAAACTTGGAAATGTGGTAGTAATGATAAATTTCCCATAATCTTATGTTCGTTTCTGAAATTAATTTCTCAATAATGCTTTGCCAATGATTTTCATTAATTATTTACATATTTTTAATAGTCCAAAAATAAAATATATAATAATAACTCAATTTTGATAATAAATATATATTATTTATATCAATATTAATTTAAATAATTTTAGTATTTATTTATTAGAATAATGATTAATTAGTCCATTAGATAATTTTCTCTATTTTATTTAGATATCTTTCAGTTATTTTGTTAATATTCATAATTATTTGATGACATTTTCAGTTAAACTCTTAATTATTTTTCTAGATTCTAACAAAATCAGAAAAAAAAAAAAAATCAGCTAGATTCAGCAATTCATCCAGATTCTTCATTTCTACTTAGACACCCTATATTTTCAAAAACAATATCAAGAGCTAAATCAAGAAGAAAATTGAATCATTTTTTCTCCATATATGACGTAGAGATTATGTTGTCTTCTTCCAAAGACCGGTTAACCCACGACCTGGACACTTTTCCAGTTTGGGTTTAGTACTAATAACCGCTAATTTTAAAACCACAAAAACCCACAAAAACCCACAAAAACCCGCCACTAACCCGCAATCCAGTGAACCGGTTGAACCGGCTGGATATGGGTTTTTAAAATATCATTTGGTTTTCGAATAAAATATAGAATTTTAGACTCTATTTATTTATTTTTAGAATTCTGTTTTAGTTCTTAGACTCATTTGATGTTTTAGATTTTGATGAAAATTCACAGTGCCGTCTAAGGAGAATGAATTGAATAGGGAGAGAAATAACTGAGATTCGTTGTTTTAATTCGCGATGTTTTATTAGTTTATTTATATCCTTGGCGATCTCTTACTATTTTAATACTAGATGGTGTACCCGCGCGTTGCGCGGGATTTAAATTTAAACTTTATTCTTTGAGTATAAATATAATCAATTGAATTTTAAAAGATTTTACTTTAATTCATGTGCATTATCTTTCCAAAGTAGTAAAAAGTTTCTCACATTTTTTACTACAATTTTTCTCGTTTTCTTTTATGATTCACTCGTCGTCTTCCGACATCTATTTTCTTTTCTCCTTAGATCGTTTCTATTTTCTCCTTCATATCATTCAATACTCAAATTTTTAATAAGTTTCATGATCTTTTTATTAAAGTGAACATCAGAAAAGAAATCCGAGGAGATGTTTGTTATAAGGTGTTTTTTTACCATGTTTTGTGCATCTAAAATTGTTTTATAGAAAACAAATCTCATATATGGACTCATTCCTATTAACAAACATAGAAATTCAACGTGAAATTTTGCACTTTATCTTGACCATTTGAAAAATACAAAAATCTCTTTCTACATATATAATTTAACATATATTATGATTTTAGATAGTATTTTTAATGTTTATTTTTATAAAATGTGACACTTACGAACTCATAAAAATTATTCTAATTTTAAAATATATTTATTTTGAAAAACAAAACAAAATCATTTTTATTTCTAGTGAAAAACTCTTCAATCTACCATTACTATATATAGATTTCCAAATAACATTCTCAAATATTATTATTACACAGTTTTATTATTCGATAAGATTATTTTATTTTTATTTGTGATGTTTAGGATAGTTTTTGTTTTATTTCAAATCACCCTTAGATTGTTCAATCGATGTGAATTTCCTAAAAACACTGATTAATATTTAGTTTTTCTTCTTTAGGTATTCACTTTTTTATTTAGAAAACATTTATAATACAGAAAATTTATTAATTTGACTACTTATATTAGATTATAATTATAAATAATAATATGTTCTAAATTCTTCTTATTTTTTAATCGGTACTCAAATTTTAAATGTCTATTTTTCAGAAATGAATTGATTTCTATTTTAAGTAAAAATCTTTAAATTTGGTATTTTTAACTCTTATTTCCTTTTCTCTACTAAATAATGGCAACTCTTAAAAAATAAATTTTGTACCATTAAAATATATGATAAGTTTCTTTTTCGTATCTCTAACTATTTTAAAATATTTACTCATTATATGTTAAAATATAATGATCTAATTTATATATATTTAATCTCTATTCAAAAATTTCATATTTTAAGTTGTATATTTATTTTTTTCGTTTTTCATAATATTTCATTTAATTTTTGTCAATTATTGTTTTTATTTAATGTGTGAATTAGTTTAGTTTTAATGTTTTTGTTTTAATAAATAAATATGTGGAACCCACAAAAAAAAAATTATGATGATATGGATGCTGATGTGGACATCTTAGATGGAGAGAAACTCTCCCATTATATATATAGATTTGTTAGGGTTTTAGACTTTTAGTTGGATTTAAAAATTTAATTTGGATCACTTTATTATTATTGTTAAACTTTATATTTTGTAAATATAGTATGAATATTTTTATTTTTATATTTATAAAAATTATATAACCTCTATAAATATTAAATATATTAAATAAATTCTAATCAATCAACCCGTGATCAAACCCGGTTGACCCAATGATCCGGTGATCCAGAAGATAGTATGGTTTACCGTCCGAATTGGGTTTAAAAACACTGCTTCTAGTTCTTTGATTTTGGGGTCGGACGTAAATGATTCGCCGATTTGGGAGGAACAAGCCTTCAATGTCCTTGCTATTCTCTATTGAATCGTTTTCATCTGCTCTGTGGTACTACTACGTGTTTTCTTTATCTTTTATTTCTTTGAACTTGGAAACATTTTTGAGAAACTATGAACTAATATTTTTTTTTTTGTTAAAACTATGAACTAATGTTTTGTTTCGTTAGATTCATATTGTTAGATTACAATTGAGAGTTCCAAATTATGTGTGGACAACACCAAAGGTCTTTGCCTTTCTCCATTTCGAGATGCATGGAAGCTGGTGCTACCTGTGAATTATTATTTTGTAGTTTTGAACTTGATTACAGTAACTCTTTCAACAATAAGTTCACTTATACAAACGATAGATTATTGATTGATAAAAAACGATAGACTAATAACCCAAACTGTTGTATTTTAATTAGCACTTATGAGAATATAGATTAATAACCTCAAATTGCTGTATTTGAACACCTATAAAACTGTCAATTTAAAAATAATACATATTCAAAAATTGAAAATTTATTGAATACTTTATCTATTTTTATGACATAATTATAAAATATACTACAATACTATAATGCATAGCATAACAATTGCTTTA